GACAAGGTGAAACGGGCCGTCTGCACGGTAACGAGACCGACGGGGCTCTGGAGACACAGCACGAATGAGGGGAGAACGACGAGTCCACTGGGACGAGGAAAGGGACTGGACAGGGGGAACAGGAGGGGACGGTAGGGGACCAAGAACCAAGCGTGCAGGTGCTGGGTCGGGCAGGTCGCGCAGTCGCAGTCGCTGCTGCTCCGCCTCCTCTGGCGTCTGCTGCGACGGTGCCTGCCCCTGCTGCTGCTCCTGTGGCTCCTCCTCTGCCCTCTCCTGTTGCGGCCGTGACTCCTCTACTCTCTCCTGCTGTGTCTGTAACTGCACCTGCTGCTGCTGGCGGGACTCCTGCTCTACCCTCTCCTGGTGCGGTCGTGACTCCTCCTCTACTCTCTCCTGCTGCAACTGCAACTCCACCCGCTGCTGCACTCGTGACTCCTCCTCTACTCTCTCCTGCTGCGGCTGCAAGTGCTCCTGCTGCTGCAGTCGTGACCCCTCCTCTGCTCTATCCTGCTGCTGCTGTGACTCCTCCTCTACTCTCTCCTGCTGCTGATGCTGCTGCTGCTGCTGCTGCTGCTGCTGCTGCTGCTGCTGCTGCTGCTGTTGTGCCCTCTCAAACCGCTCACGCTCCTTCCTCTCCAACCGGAGTAGACGCTGCTCACGGGTCAGGAAACGTACAGTGCGCGGTGTAGGCGCCAGAGTGCCAGTGCCTCCATCTCCAGCACCCCCAGAACCAGCACCTCCACCACCGACACCCCCGGGGCTTCCAGCACCTCCCGCAGGAACACCCCCAGGATCCGCAGCAACCGGCCGCAGAGAAGAACGAGGAGGGAACTGCGGGACGGACGGGAAGCTAAGAGGTGACGCGGGGCGAGGCCGCCTAGTCGAGGCTGCCGTGTCCTCCACGGGAATGACCTCTACGCCAACACCCCCTGCACCCCCAGAACTGACACCACCAGCTCCACCAGCCCCATCACCCTCACCCTCCGCAACTGCACCTCCCGCACCCCCAGACACGACAGGGACTGGACGCTGCGGGGGGGACGACTGCGGAGTGACGTGCGACACACCTGACGGGGCAGGACGCGAAGAGGGGGGGGGGCTACCGGGGCGACTGGGGGGGGCTCAAGGGTGAGGAACAGCGGGGGGGAAAAGACCTCAGTGCCTCGGGGGGGGGGGCGACTCCTGTAGTAACAGACAGACTCGTTGAACGTGATGTCCTGGGAACTGAAGAACTCGTGGGTGAGTGAGTCGTAGAAAACCCAGCCGGCAGTGTCCAAAGGGAAGCCAAGAAAGACGCAGGAACGAGTGCGCGGAGACAACTTGTTCGCGCCAGGGGCGCGAACGTGAGCCAGACAACCCCAGATGCGGAAGTCAGCTGCTACGCCCGGAGAACCTGTCCAAAGGGAGACCGGCGTCACCCGTGGCCGTGCGTCACTGGGCCACAGGTTCAGCTGGTGCGCGGCGTAGCGGACTGCCTGAGGCCACAGGAACTGGGGGGCACCGGCATGGCACATGGAGGTTCTGCTGCGGCGAGGCTGGTAGCGTGTAAGACTGGAGGATCCCCCGAGTGCAGGCGGAGCCCACAAAGGGCCTGGGCGCCACCCCACGCTTGCATCCACGGCTCAAGGACAGTAGGCACGTCGGCCTTCCGTCGCAAGGGGAAAACCGTGGTGTAGCGGGAGTAGTCGTCCACCACAATCAGGAAGTAGCGCTCCTGACGCGGGCCACGGACCGGGGAGGGGCCCCAAACGTCCAAGTGCAGGGTCTGGAAGGGAGCCATGGTGGGAGGAAACGAGGAGGAGTGAGGGGTAGCGCGCTGCCGACCCTCGACGCAAGGAGTGCACGGCGGCGCAGGCGAGCGAGGAAGCGGGGCTTGCGACTGTGGGAGACCTGAGACCAGACGGTAACGTGCCATCCTACTGAGACGTGGGAACGACGGGTGACCTAGACGGTGGTGCCAGAGGACCGACGGGTGGGTGAGTGACCGACGGTCGCACGACACAGCAGCTACCTGACCTGACCTGACCTGACCTGACCCAGCGTGGTGGGACCCGGTGTGTAGTGAGTACAGACCAGAGCCCGGCTCCCTGTGGAAAGTGGCCAGAGGCGCCTTAGTGGTACCGACAGTGTAGGAGGCAACTGGCTCGTCCAGTGGGGAAGTAGTGACCATGCCTAGGTCGTGGAGGTGACTGACACCCACCAGGTTCCTGGAGAACCTGGGGGTGTAGTAACCTGTGAGAAACCCAGAGGGAGCCGCCGGACACGGGAGAGTGGTGGTGTTGTGGGCAACTACAGGTCCCACGGAGGGGTCAGCCAAGGCGACAGTGACTGGAGTGCGCAGTGGTGTGAGGTCAGTACAGTCGCGAAAGAAGCAGCTGGACGCTCCAGAGTCTAGGGTGAAGGAAAGGTGTGCAGTCTGTGAGGTCGCACCCGAGCCAGCGACAAAGGCTGGTGCTAGACTAGTGGTAGCTGCAACTCCTACACAAAGACGCTCAGAGGGGCCCGGACTGGAAACAATACACGCACCAAGACTGGAAACACATGTCTCTACTTGTGCAGCCGGGAACGGTCCTAGACCAGGTCGGTGAGACTCAACTGGTGCAGCAGTGCGCTGGCGAAGACGCGAGGGCCAGTGCGGTGTAATAGCATGAGGACCAAAACGCTCACGGTGGAGGTCGTCGAGGCGACGGTAGCAGCGGGACGCAGAGTTCAGGACTCCAGCAGGTGGTGCCAGCACCCGGGCCAGTCAGGATTTGGTACCCGCAGGGACCGACGTCACGCCCACTACTGGCTGAGCCGCTGCTGCGGCCGGTACTCCTAGGACCCTCAGGTCCCCACTGCCGGGAGTGCTGTAGCTGCTGTCGCTGCGGCTGACCCTGCTGCTGCTGCTGCTGCTGCTGCATAACTCTAGCACACGCCATGGTAGGCGCTAGAGACGGCCGAGCGCGGTGGGGAGCGGCTAGGAGCGGTTGCTAGCGTCAGCCTATGCTGCTGCTGAGTCTGCTGGGGGCAGCCTATGCTGCTGCTGGTGCTGCTAGGGGCAGCCAATGCTGCTGCTAATTCTGCTGGGGGGGGGAGGCTATGCTGCTGCTGGTTCTGCTGGGGGCAGCCTATGCTGCTGCTGGTTCAGGTGTTGGGGAACGGTTTTGGGCGGTTCTGGGCGGTTCTTGGCGGTTCTGGGCGGTTCTGGACGGTCCTGGGCGGTTCTAGACGGTTCTGGACGGTCCTGGGCGGTCCTAGGCGGTTCTGGGCTGTCCTGAACGGTCCTGGGCGGTCCTGGGCGGTTCTGGGCGGTTCTGGACTGTCCTGGGCGATTCTGGACGGTGCTGGACGGTCCTGGGCGGTTCTGGACGGTCCTGGGCGGTCCTGGGCGGTTCTGGGCGGTTCTGAGCGGTGGGGGGAACGCGCGCGATTCGGGGGCCAAAGGGGGCCTTTCTAGGTCGCGACGTGGGGGGACCCGCGGGGGTCCTTCTTAGGTCGCAATTCGGGGGCCCGCGGGGGCCTTCCTAGGTCGCGACGTGGGGGACCCGCGGGGGTCCTTCTACCTCACAATTCGGGGGCCCGCAGGGACCTTCCTAGGACGTGACGTACAAACCATAAGAATTATAGTTTGACATGACCTGTGTGAGCTGCGTAGCTATCTTGGGTTGCAGATCACCCGGGACAGAGCACGGCGCACCATCACTTTGACTCAGTCGCACATGATGCACCAGGTCCTTCAGCGCTTCGGCTTTCAGTTTTCCTCGCCACAGCGCACTCCTCTGCCTACAGGCCACTCGCTCTCCGCTCCAACTTCGGACGAGTCCGTAGAGCCGAGTGGCCCGTATCCAGAGCTTGTGGGCTGCCTCATGTACCTAATGACGTGCACACGACCTGACCTCGCGTACCCTCTCAGCATCCTTGCTCGCTTCGTCGCGCCCGGGCGACATAGGAAGGAGCACTGGACAGCTGCGCAGAGAGTACTGCGTTACTTGTGCAGTACATCGGGCATGGGGCTTGTGCTTGGAGTACGGGGTCAAGTTGTGCGTACTGGGCACTCAGACGCTTCTTGGGCGGACGACCAGGCGACTCAGCGGTCGTCACAGGGTTACACTTTCAGTCTCGGCACTGGTTCTGTTTCTTGGCGGTCTACCCGCTCGTCTTCTGTTCTCAGCTACAGTTGTGAGGCTGAGATCTACGCGGGGGCCATGGCTGCACAGGAGTTACGCTGACTGACCTACCTGCTTACGGACTTGGGAGAGCGGCCTCGTTCTCCTCCAGTTCTGTACGTCGACAACAAGGCCATGATTGCCTTGTGTCAGGACCACCGACTAGAGCATAGAACGAAGCATTTCGCTCTGCGCTACTTTCTTGCACGAGAGCTGCAGCAGCGTGGTCAGCTTCGCCTTGCTTATGTGGCCACACGGGCCAACATTGCTGATATTTTCACCACAGGGTATAATAATCATCAGCGGTTTTGCACTGCTCTAGGCCTTGTGCCTACTCTGCCTCACTTGCTTACTGCTTGACTTTGCCTTGTACGGTGATCTTTATATATATATATACATATATGCTTGCTTGCTCTTGCTTGGTTGTGATTACTGTACTGCATGTGTTTTTTATAACTCTGCATGTGAACTGGTCTTGTGACCATTTGCTTGTGCTCGGACTGTGTGGTGACTTTGTGATCCACCCTAAGCTGTTCTTTGCTTCTTCTCTTGACTGGTCTTGTGACCATTGCTTGCTCTGGCTATCCCCCATTTCGCCTATGGGGGTGTGTCAAAACATATATGCTTATATATTATGTAGGCTATATGGGGGTTAGCACTAGGGGGTACAGAACTTCTCTCGACATCTTGTACCCCTCCTTTGACCTAATCGACACTTCTCTCCTAAGCCTATCTTACCTCCTTATCTCAACAGTTTTTACCCTGCCTGCTCGTTCTGCCCTGTCCCACCAAATCGCGACCTTCTGTCTGCTAGCGCCGACCTGCCTAGCGCGATCGCGACTGCCCTGCCCTATGCGCGACCCCCAAGCTGCCTCGCGCACGACCCGCATGCTGCCCTGTCTGCGCCACCCCGCGCACCCTGTCCTGCCCCGCGCGCGAACCGCACGTGGCCCTGCACGCTGCCCTGCACGCGCATTGCCTGCGCTCTGCCTGCACGCGCGTTGCCACCGCACAGCCCAAGCCCTATGCGCAACGCCCACGCTGCCTGCGCTGCCCATGCTGCCTGCGCTGCCCATGCTGCCTGCGCCTCCGGTGCCGCCTGCAGCCGTCCTGCCCATGCTGCCTGCAGCCGTCCTGCCCATGCTGTGCTGCCTTCGCGCTGCCCCACACGCTGCCCCACGCACGTTGCCCTGCCCTGCCCTGCCTGCATGCGCTGCCGGCGCTGCATACGCGCTACTCGTGCCGCCTGCTGCTGTGCTGCTTTGCGCGCTGCCCGCGCACAGCCAGCAGGCCCCGCGCTGCCCTGCACGCTGTGCACCCGCTCTGCGTCTGCTCGTACAGGTGGTGCCACCGGTGGAGGTGGAGGTTCTGGGGGTGGACAGCAGTGGCAGCAGCTTCGAGAGTGGGTTTCCCAGCGACGCATCCCTGGTGGTGTAGAGGCTGCTATTCTAGGTGCCTGTGAGCTTGCCAGCACAGGTGCAGCTCCTATTGAGGCTTTGTACACTTTCACACTTGACTCCGGCACGTCTTGCTGCTTCTTCTGCGACTACACCACAGTCACACCGCTCACTGTACCTGTTCCTGTCACGCTGGCTGACCCCTCTGGGGGCCCAGTCGTTGCATGTGCCTCCACCGTTCTCCCGTGACCGGCAGCCCCTTCTGGCTCCCTCTCAGGTCACCACCTCCTCTCGGTCACTACGAACTTGGTGAGTTAACACTGTCCTCCAGGACCAATTGGTCATTACCACTACACCAGACTCACAGACTGGCGAGCACCTCTCCACGTTCACTCTGTGACCCGGGTCTGCTTGGTGATTGTGTTAGAGAGGGACTGGAGCGCTTGGTGGTATTCGACAAGAGAAGGATGTCGTTTTACTGGTACAAGTCACGCTCGCGTCTTTTTGTCGGCAGTTGGCGTGCTAGAGGCGATTGCGTCGCGGTCCGTCATGTGCACTATCCGCTAGTTGTATGTTAGAACTCACATGACCAGCATATTGTTCTCTGGCACGCTTAGTTCCTTCTTTCCTCAAATATGTCATTGTCAGAATCTAGACGAAGGAATGAATGCATTGAGTAGGAAGTTGGTACAAGTACTAACCCTAATTGGGTTGTACCCCACTACAGCCTACACAACACAGACAACATAATAGTTTGACACACCCCCATAGGCAAAGTGGGGGAGAACAAGGGGTCACAAGACCAGTCAAGAAAAGCAAAGCAAGCTCAGGGTGGATCACAACGTCACCACACACTCTGAGCACAAGCAAATGGCCGCAAGGCCAGTTCACATGCAGAGTTATATAAATGGGAACAAGCAGTACAGTGATCACAACCTAGCAAGTGTAAGCATGCAGGTATAAGTCACGAAGTGAGCAAGTGAGGCAAAGTAGGCACAAGGCTTAAAACAGTACAAAAACGTTGATAATCACCAGGCTGAAGTGCCTTGGTGAATATATCAGCAGTGTTGGCCCGAGTGGCCACGTAAGCAAGACAAAGCTGACCACGCTGCTGCAACTCTCGAGCAAGGAAGTAACGCAGAGCGATGTGCTTCATCCTGTGCTCCAGTCTGTGCTCCTGACACAAGGCAATCATGGCCTTGTTGTCTACGTACAGAACTGGAGGAGAACTAGGCCGCTCTCCCAAGTCGGTCAGCAGGTCGGTGAGCCAGCGTAACTCCTGTGCAGCCATGGCCCCTGCGTAGATCTCAGCCTCACAACTGGAACTCATAACAGAAGACGAGCGGGTAGACCGCCAAGAAATAGAACCGGAGCCAAGGCTGAAGGTGTAACCATGTGACGACCGCTGCGTAGCCAAGTCATCAACCCAAGACGCGTCTGCGTGGCCAGTGAGAACAACTCGACCCCGTCCTCCAAGCACGAGCCCCATGCCCGACGTACTGCACAAGTAGCGCAACACCCTCTTAGCGCCTCCCAATTCTCTGGTCGGTGTCTCCGGGGCGCAATGTAGCGTGCCAGGATGCTTAGAGGGTAGGCAAGGTCAGGTCGAGTGCAGATCATCTCGTACATGAGGCAGCCCACAAGCTCTGGGTACGGACCACTCGGCTCTACGGACTCGTCCGAAGGTGGAGCTGAGAGCGAGTGACCGGTAGGCAAAGGAGTGGACTGTGGCGAGGAGTACTCGAAGCGGAAGCGCTGAAGGACCTGGTGCACCATGTGTGACTGAGTCAAGGTGATGGTGCGCCGTGCTCTGTCCCGGATGATCTGCAAGCCAAGATAGCTGCGCAGCTCACCCAGGTCAGTGCACGTGTGTCTCTTTTGCAGCTCCGACTTCACTAGGCCAGTGCCTCAGAGTCAGCAGTGGCGAAAACCAAATCGTCGACGTACACGAGGATGTAGAACGGCGGCAGCGAAGTGTCGGTGCGCAGAAACAGCGACGGGTCAGCAGTCGAAGGAGAAAACCCAAGAGCCGCAAGCGTCGTCCTCAGTGTGTCGTGCCACTCGCGGGGCGCCTGGCAAAGACCGTAGACTGGCCGCCTGAGGCTCCACTGGGTACCTGCAGGAAACGACCCAGTGAAGCCAGGTGGGCGGCGCAGCCAGATCTTCTCATGCAGGCTGCCCTGCAAGAAAGCTGTGCTGAAGTCAAGAGAGTGAAGCTCGTAGTCACGCTGAGCGAAGAGTGGTCATCTTCTGGGTAGGGGAGAAGGTCTGGAAGAAGTCAACTCCTTGTCGCTGACTAAAGCCTCGTGCAACGTAACGAGCCTTGAAGGCAGGAGGAGAACCCGCGGCCGCTTCACCCTGAAAATCCACATGCCATCGACTATGTTCGCCCCAGGAGGGGGAACTGTGTCGACGTAAGTGCCTGTGGACTTCCAGGATGCCATCTCTGCGTCCATGCCTGTCTGCCACTAAGAGGAGTACTCACCCGCGATCGCCTCTGCGTAAGAGCGCGGGGTCGGGATGTCTGGTGCATCCGGGTCTCCCTCAGGTGCAAGCAACATGGGCACGAGATGAGGTACAGCAGCTGCAAGACACTCAAAGTCCTCCTGCCTGTCCTCAAGGACGTCCGTGCTAAGAGCACACTCACCCCCGACGGACGGAGGACAGTCAGACTCAGACTCAGCAACAAGACTAGCGGCGTAGTCAAGACAACAAATAAGTTCACCTTTTGAAATCATGTTTTCTATTTCTGAAAATTTATATTATTTTGACAACTCTCCTATTTTTTTTAAATCATGTCAACAAGCTCAGCAACTAGGGCAGACGCAGCAACGGACTCAAACGAAGGGTCAGTGATAACAGTGGCTAGAAAACGTGTGACAGTAGGACTGGCAGCACGAACTAAGTCAGACTCAGGGTCCGGACCATCAGCGAGAGAGGACGCAGGAGGAGACGGCAGTGGAACTCGCAGTGGAACAGAGGAAGGACGAAGTGTCATAAGGTGAGTGCCGGGGACAGGAGGAGGACGCGGACGCGGAACACGACGACCAGTACGACCAGCGCGAACAGGCGAGGTAGGGCGAGACACAGGCTCACGACGCTATGTAACAGAGTCTGTTTGCTCAGTGTAAGGAGAAGGAGCAGGCAGTGGGGAGGCTGGCTGTAACTGTGGCAACTACTGGTCAGGCGGTGGACACAGTAGAGGTGGAGTAAGGTCAGTAGAAGACGGGAGACCAAGAACCTGGCGAAGCAGTGGAACGAATTACGGTCGCGGCCGCACAGTGCCTCCAGCACCAGTACCGACAGCGCCAGCACCTCCAGCTCCAGGGTCTCCAGCTCCAGTACCTGCAGCACCACCAGCTCCAGCAGCTCAAGTACCTCCAGTACAAGTACCTCCGGGACCAGCAGCTCCAACACCTCTAGCACCTCCAGCACCTCCAGCAGCAGCAGCACCACCAGCTCCGGCAGCTCCAGTACCTCCAGTACGAGCACCTCCGGGACCAGCAGCTTCACCACCTCCACCACCTCCAGCACCTCCAGCAGCAGCAGCACCACCAGCTCCGGCAGCTCCAGTACCTCCAGCACGAGTACCTCCAGGACCAGCAGCTCCAGCACCTCTTGTACCTCCAGCTCCAGCAGGACCCCCAGCACCTCCAGGACTAGCAGCTCCAGCGCCTCCAGCTCCAGAGTCTCCAGCGGCAGGCCCCCCAGCTCCAGCAGCGCCACTCCGAAGGCGGGTGCGCCGAGCAAACCACTCGCGCAGCTGCAGTGGGGAGAGAGGTTCCCGTCGTGACGAGGCACCCGTAGGACCTCCAACACACACAGTACCTCTAGGCTCAGCACCCCCACACCCAGAACCCCCAGGCTCCGCACGCTCAGGCTCAGCACCCCCAGGCTCCGCACCCTCAGACTCAGCAACCCTAGGCTCAGTGCCCCCAGGCTCCGCACGTTCGAGCTCAGACCCCCAGGCTCCGCACCCTCAGACTCAGAAACCTCAGGCTCAACACCCCCAGGCTCCGCACGCTCAGGCTCAGCACCCTAAGCAACACCCCCACCAGCAGCACCAGAGTCAACAGCTACCTCGACAGGCTCAGCCAAGGGGAGTGGGTCTACCTGAGACACACCTGAGGGAGCAGGACCCTGAGGGGGGGGGGGGTCTACCGGAGGAGGACCTGGTGCGAGGAAGAGCGGCGGGGGGGGAAGAGGGGCAGTGCAGTAGGGGAAGAGACGGTAAAAGGGAACCGACTCGTCAAACGTGACGTCCTGAGAGGGCAGGACACGACGCGAGGTGGGGTGGTAAAACTGCCAGCCAAGCGCATCAGGGGGAAAGCCAAGGAAGACGCAGGGAAAGGCGCGGGAGGAGAGCTTGTCCGCGGAATTTTCGCGGACAAAGGCACGAGAGCCCCAGACCCGGAACACCGACGCATCGCCAACCTTCCCCGTCCAACGCGGTGTAGGCGAGGTCTCCGGCAAGGAGACACGGGGCCAGAGGTTGAGCTGATGCGCAGCGTACCGGACCGCAAACGGCCACAGAAAATGGGGAGCAGCCGCATGGATCATGGAGGTACGAGCGACCTCCATGACTAAGCCAATGCGGCGCTCAGCAACCCCATTCTGCTGCGGAGAGGCCGGAAGCGTGAATGACTGGCGGATGCCCTCCCCACGACAAAAGTCCCGCAAGAGGTTGGAGGCGAACTCACCACCTCTGTCAGAGTGCAGACGCAGGACAGGAAGGTCCGTGTGGAACCGCTCGCGGAGCTGGAGACGGACAGCGCGGATTTAAGGAATCAAAACATCAGGGACCTCCCCCTTGCTGCGCAAGGGGAAGACCGTGGTGTAACGCGAGTAGTCGTCAACAACCAGCAGAAAGTATCGCTCGCGGCCCTGTCTACGAACGTGGGCTGGGCCCCACACGTCCATGTGGAGAGTCTGCAGGGGAGCAGTAATCGGGGGAAACGGGGAGGAGTGAGGAGCGGCGCGCTGCCGCCCCTCAACACAGGGAAGGCAGGGAGGGGCAGGCAAGGGTGGGAGGGGAGGCAGAGACCTAGGAAGACCAGAGACAAGGAGGCGGGAGTGCATGCCACGGAGGCGTGGCAGGGAGGGGTGACCAAGGCGGTGGTGCCGAAGGAGAGTCTGGTGCGACAGGAGGCGACACGAACAGGGGGCTGCTAGCTGACCTGACGCGGACGCAGACGCAGCTACCTGAGGAGGCTCAGTAGTCAGTGTGTACAGACTCGACCCAGGCCGAAGGATGAACGTGGCTAGGTGACGGCCCGTCCGTGTACACGTGCAGATTGACACACGCTGACCCCCAAGAGTGGTGGTAGTGACCATCGCATCCTGGAAGGCAACGGTACTCACCAAGTTCGTAGAGAACAAGGGGAGGTGAAGACCTGAGAGTGAGCCGGACGGAACCGATGGACACGGGAGAACAGTGGAGGAACGTGCAAGAACTGGGCCCCCTGAGGGGTCAGCCAGTCTGACTGCAACAGGTGCAGGGAGCGGTGTGACTGTGGTACTGTCGCGAAAGAAACAGCGGGAAGCACCTGAGTCAAGCGTGAAGGTGT